GTGGTGCTCATTTTCTCTTGTATAAGATACATGGTTTATGCCGATCCCACACTGCAGAGGTCTAGACAAAAGTTCACTACAAACAAGTTGGTGCTTACAGTCATTTTCCATCAGCTAATAAAAAGAAGTACCAAGACTGTGAGCTGTTATTTCTTCCTGACGTTAACGGATACGACGGCACATTACTGAGGTGTCCCCATCTATCTGAGTCCTCTCTTTTAAAAAATAAAACAAAATGAATCATCTAAACCTTAGCCAATCTGCTTCACTTGTAAAACATCCATTCTCCTCATGAAGAAAGCATTCAAAAAGCTCTCGTCACAATGTTTCATGGGAGAGGCAAACTTCTAGTTATAAAGAAGGAGCTTTCAAAGTGGATTCTGAGCTTCCATATGGAAAATTAAAGAAAACATCACACACAAAATACAGTCCCTACACCTGTAAGGATAGCAACTCGTTTAAAGGGCAGTACAGACAGGGCCAGAGAGCTGTTCTAACATGAGCAAAAATTCCATGGTCCAGTCCTTTTCCGACTGTGCCATTTTAGATGGAAGGGACTGAATACTTATCATTGTAGATTTCTAACAGGGAAATCCCACATTTTAATATTCCCTGGTGTTAAAAGGGGAAAAAACACCTCCCTGTGCCGATGTGATTCATCAACCAATGCTCTGAAGCGGTACAATCCTGGTAAAAGTGTGCACTTTCCTTCGAGAGGACCGTCCAGGCCAGTTCATATGTTCGTTCTGATGAGGTACAGTCTTTACATTTTCATACAGGAAAAAACATGTGATTGACATAATTCTCCCCTACCTGAGATCGCTGTGGGACCATGTGAGATAAGAAAATAGGGGTAATTTGTGAACTGTCCCTTAAACATCCCCTCATGCTTGGCCTTCCACTTGTTGAGGGAGGGGGAACTGTAGGAAGATGGCTGCCAGTTTGTAACATGTGAGCTGACTGTCTCTCTCCCACGCAGGTACTTAAGGCCTAGACCACACGAAGCTCTTGGCCTTCAACTATTAGCTTGAGAGCTGTAGCACAGAGCAGGAAAATTTCATGGCACTGGGAGAGAGAGATCTACTCTGTTAGAACACATGACGCTCTTGGCCTTCAACTATTAGCTTGAGAGCTGTAGCACAGAGCAGGAAAATTTCATGGCACCGGGAGAGAGAGATCTACTCTGTATTTAGAAGTCCCGCTTCTCGAGTTCATTATTATTTTTTAATTAATTTATTTTACTATAAAAAACTACCATACAAAATGGCGACTCTTTGTCAACGATTACACAGTGAATAGTAGCATAAACAGTCAATATTTAAAAAAAAGTCTCACTTAGGAAATCTAGACTAACCAAATACCAGTAACTTGTATTTGGCTTTAGATGTAGTTTCCCAATCAAAGGTATCAATGTCTATTTTATCTAGTTCATTATTTTTTACTATTGCTTTTTATTTTTTTATTGTGAGCTGTTTTGAGTACCCATTTCAAGAGAAAGGCAGGGTATAAATGAATAAACACGGGGCATAAAGCCAGCCATATGAGTTTCTTATAAACGTAACATACTAATTTGTGGGGGGGGGGGTTCTTTCAACAAAACCATCAAAACACCTCCCATAAATTAAAATCATCATGTTTGATCATCCCACAGATGATCTCTGTGTGCACAACAATCTGTATACAAGTGGAAAGACTAAAAATTATTCCTCACTATCGCCCTGCGTGAAGTGAAAGCGATTTTACCCCACACACACACACACACTATCTTTCCCATGTGCGCAAGACAAAAAATACAAGGTATTTCTTCTGATACAGTCTGAAAAGCAAATAAATGAAAACCACACGAACCATCTGTTGTTCATTTCATTGCTCTATATGCACATAGTTACTTCATTAAAAGGGCTTTCTGTCCCTCCAGGCCTTGCGCTACTGCTTGTGCGAGAGGAACTGTGCCACGCACATTTCCCCTTCTGCTCATGCATCGCTGGATCCAACCCCATACTGGCATGACCGGATACAAACTTCTGGGAAAAGAGTGAGTTTGTGAAAGCCAGTTTTACTGCTTTCCCTTTCCACTGTGAGGCCCCCTCTTCCAAAGAGAATGCTGAAGACTGAGAAGACCTTGAGCAGTGTACCATGGGGCAAGAGAGACTGCTGCACAAAGAGGGGGTGACCAACTTGTGTGTGCATAACAAGCTCTGAGGGAAAAGTGAAAGCTCATGCATACAAGCATGTGTAGGCAGGTGATTTCCGGCTATTTCTCCTCTCTTCTTGCTGCAGCTCCCCCACATCATCTGGCATATAATTTTGGAAGGACCTGCCCAATTCTTAAACATGGGTTTTCAGAAAGGAAAAAAAACCCAGTAAAAACCACTTCCACAAATTTGCTTCCAGGCTTTCCCAGAAGATGTTTTTCCACAGACTTCCTAAAAGTGGGTTTAAAAAAGTATGATAAGAGAGATGAAGTTGTGAGGACTACTCTTAATTTTTTTTATTTAACACTTCTTGAAATTTTACAAACAAATCATAATGCAAGTCAATACAGATGTTATGCAATAATTGGTAAAAGGTAAAGGTTTCCCTTGCTCAAAAGCCAGCCCAATCCGACTCTAGGGGGTGGTGCTCATCTCTGTTTCCAAGCCAAAGAGCCAGCACTGTCTGAAGTGGCTTTTAACCATGCTCCTGAGCTGCAACGAGACACCCCGACGACGACTCCGGGATGCTGGACAGATGTTTCCATCTGATCGCGCCCCTTTACTCCATGCGGGAATTGCGTATCTGCCGCCGCTTATTGTACATATGATCACACCCTATATTTACACAAACTAACATAACCAACAATACCTAAACAATTGAAACTTACCATTTTCAGTCATTACAATATACCACCCAATACATCAGCCATAAACTATACAGACCACCCATTGGAGAAACACTAAACAGAAATTAAAGATTTCAGGGTTTTCAGCATCACTTCAATTTCCAATAAATAATCTAGTATAATGGGCCAAACCTCGACAAAGTCAGAGCCAGACATGTGTGATTCGTATTTAGGCCCCTCATAAGACGCTAAAAGCCCAACATAGGCACCGCCAGTTTTCCAAACTGTAGCTATAGCCATAAGAACTACTCTTAATTTTGTTTTGTTTAAGATTTAGGAGTTTGCAAGTGTTTAAGAAGAGTAACCATCTAAGGATTCACTGGAGACTGAAATCAGACACCCACCTACAGAAACTAACCCCAAAACATGGCTTGACCTATTTTATATTTGCTGGAACTTGGCAGCCACATGCTACCAAAACACCCTCCCACCTGCACACAATGAGGTGGGCAAGGTGTGGGAGAAAGACCTTTTTTCCCCACATGTTTGTTTTCATGTTTCCATGTCTTTACACTGCAAACAATCTTCAGAACATTTTGGAAGTACAACTAAGCAGTGAGAAATACTGTGTCCTTTAAAGGATACCACAAAACACTTTAGTGGATTAATGGATTCCCTGTGTAAAATTAAAAGCTCTGCTGCAATTATGCTGGAAGGGAAACTGTGAACAACAAAAAATCTGAGTACATCTTAAAGAGGTTAATATTTTACTACAAAATATATATTTACTCACAATGTTCTTCCTGGAAATCATTATACCTTTGTTTAAAAAAAACCCCAACCAAACAACCCCCTCTTTCCTGTTAGCTTGTGATTGACTTTAGTAGAAATAAAATCTTGATCACAAACCTTAGTGGTGTATTAAACCATGGAACAGAAGTGGAGTGCATGAACAAAAATAACCTGTAAGATATCGCATGTAAGATACCACAGCGGCTGGCAATGGCAGGAGTCGGAAGGGCAAGGACATTGGTCCATAAAACCATAGAATTTTCAGCAACCCCTAGAGAGACATGAGATCACTTCCAGGTTTTTCCCAGATGTGACATATGGGAACTGGGGGTCTCCTGTCTACATGGAATCAGCAACTGGAGGCTTCTGGCCAAATATAGCTTACTGAAGGATACAACTTCCTGCCCTGTTGACAATCCAGAAGCAAAAGAGGCATAGGAGACAGTAGTCTCTGTGGTAGGAATACTAAACACCAGGAAGAAGAGTTGGGCTCTGTGCTTTAAAGGATCATATAGACACTGCTACTAAACTATATGGATCCAAATCTGAGTAATCTGAGAGGAGTAGAGTAGGATGAAGGCTCAAGTTTTTCCCTGGTCAGTCAGCCAACTTGGCACCTTCTGTAAACTACTAGCTGATCCTTTCAATCCTAAATTTTGCAAAGCTTTCCTGATGCCTTCACCTGCTGACAGAATATCAGTAAATAATCACATCTACTTTTAACCAGTATTTTTGTTATGCACAACTTTTCTTTCTTTCACACAGAACCCATCTTTCCTCTGGGGAGTTCAAGGCAGTGTTCAAAAAATTCCCAGGTGGTCATCTTCCATCCAAAATACTAATCGGACTCAGACCTGCTTAACTTCAGGAAGGTTGCTGCCTCATATTTCTTCAGACTGGGCCTTGGGCAATAGTGGCTTTTCTTGGTGTAGCTAGAGTCTCCTGTGTGCCCCTGGGAAAAACACCCCAACCAGAAGCAGCATGGCATCTATTGAGTATGACAGAATCAAAATGCAGAGTGAAACGTGCTTCCTGAATTAGTAATCTTCAGAATGAACTTCAACATATTCAACATATCTAGTGTTTCTCAGGAAACTGAAGTCAAGAATACAGCTTCCTGTGCTCTGTGAAAAAAATAACTCAAACTTGTTAGAGGAGGAGGAGGAGGAGGAGGAGGAGGAGGAGGAGGAGAAGAAGAAGAAGAAGAAGAAGAAGAAGAAGAAGAAGAAGAAGAAGAAGAAGAAGAAGAAGAAGAACAAGAAGAAGAAGAAGAAGAAGAAGAAGAACAACAACAACAACAGCAGCAGCAGCAGCAGCAGCAGCAGCAGCAGCATATTTTAGGCAACAACAACAACTAAGTCAGAAGCATATTTTAGGCCAGACTTACCAAACGCCTCCTCTCCTCTTCCACTGCAATCAATAACCGGGCAAATTCCTTCAATGACTGGGCTACAAGACAATAGAAAACAAGAACACAGAATATTTAGGAGATTATAGCATCAAACAATGTTAGTCATCTAAGGGTTCTATTCAGGTAGGTAACGCAACTAGTTTAGGTTTGCAGCGAGCATCATCCTCTGCAACTGTACCTAGGGACACAGCCTCTCCAACAAAGGGAGAGTGCACAATGGAAAAAGCTTCAGGAATCCAGTTAAAACAGGCAACACTTGGAAACCTGTTGGAATAATACCTTCTTTTCAACCCAATGCAATAAGGAGTCCCTTAGAGCTGGTACACATATTACTCTTGCTATGGAGATGCCACCAAGAACACACTATCCTTGTAGGAGACTTCTCCACTTTCTAAGGTTACAAGCTTTTGTTAATTAGAGGGGAGCCATCATACAGGGTGTGTCACTGTTGCCTGTCAGTGGCCATCAGAACTATAAAGAAGGAACAAGGAGACTCTCTATATTGACATCTGCCCTTCATCCAATAAGCATTCCTAAACTTTACAGTAAAGATGTGGAGCACTTGCCATGGGGATGTTGGTTTTGGTGAAATTGCTACATAATGGCACATGTACACCAGCAAAATGGTACCAAAAATTAGAATGATCACCTTAACATTATTCCTTCAGATTTAATTTGTGTACTGAAAAGACACACTAGCCAAAGAGTTGGAGGCAGTCTCTTTGCCGGCTCTAGACTTTCTACTCTGGCCAGAAAAGATCATTTATATCAATTCTGAAACATACAATCATCTGTTGTTCTAATCAAAAGGGGCTCTCTTTTGTGCCTGGAAAAATGACCATATTTCATTCATTGATAGTCTGGCAATGGGAGCAGAGCATGAATGACGAAAACAAAATCCGACACAATGAGACAGCCTAGAATGAATTATGTGTCTTGATTAAAACGAATCTTGCTTTGGTTGGGTTTTTCCAAGAGCCAGTTGTTGTTATTTTGGAAACAGCTAAAATCTACTAGGCACTGCATAAAAATAATACAAGACTATCCCTGCCCACAAGGACATAAGTTAAATAATAAGGATGAGTCTGGGAGGCAGGGAGAGATGAAAACAAGTTGTCAATTACCAGGGCTAAGCAAATATAAGCAGAAGCAGGCAATGGCAAACCACCTGTAAAAATCTCTCTTAGCTCTGAAAACCCCATGAGGGTTGCCATGAGTCAGCTACAACTTGATGGCACTTTCCACCACCACAAAAAATATAAACCCATCAGGCTAATAAAGACATGATAATTCCTGAGACATTTCTTAAAAGGGCAGAGACTTTGCTTAACCCTATTAAGCAGAGGAGAATTTCAGCACATGGAACAGCAAACAAGAGGACATGAAATAAGTAGTTGAAAGAGTAAACCAAAGCCCAACTTGATACAACAAGGACAATCATGTGAATTGGTGTAAAGGGGTGGTAGTGGGTCATCACAGGGGCATCTCTCTTTTCGCATGACCTATTAGTTTGTTCAGAGGACTTACCATATGCATTTGCCACATCAGAAATAAGAACATAAGAGAAACCAATGTTGGATCAGGCCAATGGTCCATCCAGTCCAACACTCTGTCACACAGTGGCCAAAAATACTAGGTGCCATCAGGAGGTCCAGCAGTGGATCCAGGACACTAGGAGCCCTCACATTATTGGCCCCCCGCAAGCACCAAGAATACAGAGCATCACTTGCCCCGGAGTCCCTATCTATACCTTGTGGCTAATAGCCACTGATGGACCTCTGCTCCATATGCTTCTCTAATTCCCTCTTGAAGCTGTCCATGCTTATAGCTGCCACCACCTTCTGTCACAGTGAATTCCATGTGTTAATCACTCTTTGGGTGAAGAAGTACTTCCCTTTATCTGTTCTAACCCGACCGCTCAGCAATTTCATGGTAGTGCCCACGAGTTCTTGTATTGTGAGAAAGGGAGAAAAGTACCTCTTTCTCTACCTGCTCTATCCCATGCATAATCTTATAAACCTCAATCATGTCTCCCCTCAGTCATTGTTTCTCCAAGCTAAAGAGCCCTAAGCGCTTTAACCTTTCCTCATAGGGAAAGTGTTCCAACCCTTTTATCATTCGAGTTGCCCTTTTCTGCACTTTTTCCAAAGCTATAATATCCTTTTTAAGGTGTGGTGCCCAGAACTGCACACAGTATTCCAAATGAGGTCGCACCATTGATTTATATAGGGGCATTATGATATTGGCTGATCTGTTTTCAATACCCTTCCTAATAATCCCCAGCATAGCATTGGCCTTCTTTATTGCAGTCACACACTGTCTCGACATTTTCAGTGAGTTATCTACTACAACTCCAAGATCTCTCTCTTGATCAGTCTCTGCCAGTTCAGACCCCATCAATGTGTATTTATATTTAGGATTTTTGGCTCCAATGTGCATCACCTTGCACTTGGCCACATTGAACCCCATTTGCCATGTTGACGCCCACTCGCCCATCCTTGACAGATCCCCTTGGAGTGCCTCACAATCCTCACTGGTTTTCACCACCCCGAACAACTTTGTATCATCCGCAAATTTAGCCACTTCACTGCTTACTCCCATCTCCAAATCATTAATGAACAAGTTAAAAAGCAGTGGACCAAGTACTGATCCCTGCGGTACCCCACTGCTTACCACCCTCCACTGAGAAAATTGCCCACCTACACTCACTCTCTGTTTTCTATGAACTAGCCAGTTTTTGATCCATAAAAGGACTTGTCCTTCTATCCCATGATTTTTGAGCTTACTTAGGAGCCTTTGATGAGGAACTTTATCAAAAGCTTTCTGGAAGTCAAGGTAAATAATATCTATTGGATCCCCCTTGTCCACATGTTTGTTCACCCCCTCAAAGAACACTAACAGGTTAGTGAGACAAGATCTTCCCTTACAGAAACCGTGCTGAGTCTGCCTCAATAGGTTTTGTTCATCTATGTGCCTACTAATTCTTTCCTTAATAATGGTTTCCACCAATTTACCCGGTATCGACGTCAGACTGACTGGCCTGTAATTTCCCGGATCTCCTCTGGAACCCTTTTTAAAGATGGGAGTGACATTAGCTACCTTCCAATCCTCAGGAATGGAGGCAGATTTTAAGGAAAGATTACATATCTTTGTCAGGAGATCTACAAGTTCACATTTGAGTTCTTTCAGAACTCTCGGATGTATGCCATCTGGGCCTGGTGATTTTTCAGTTTTTAAGTTGTCTATCAGTTTTAGGACCTCCTCTCTCATCACCTCAATCTGACTCAGGTCTTCCAACACCCCTCCTGAAATCAGTGGTTCTGGAGTGGGCAAGCACTTCTCATCTTCCACAGTGAAGACGGAGGCAAAAAATGCATTTAGCTTCTCAGCCATTTCCCTATCATCCTTCAATACTCCTTTTACCCCTTGGTCGTCCAAGGGCCCCACTGCCTCCCTGGCTGGTTTCCTGTTTCTAATGTATTTGAAGAAAGTTTTATTGTTGGTTTTTACGTTTTTTGCTATATGCTCCTCATATTCCCTTTTTGCCTGCCTGACCTCAGACTTGCATTTTATTTGCCATAGCCTGTGTTCCGTTTTATCAGCCTCACTGTGACTAGCTTTCCACTGCTTAAAGGAATTCTTTTTACTTTTTACAGCCTCCATTACTCTGTTTGTTAACCATGCAGGCTTTTTCCTATACCTGTTTGTGCCTTTCCTAACCTGCGGAATATATATTTTTTGAGCTTCTAGGATCGTAGTTTTAAATAGATCCCAAGCTTCCCCAATTGTTTTGACCCTTTCTACTTTTCCTTTCAGTTTCCTCCCCACGTGTCCCCTCATATCAGAGAAATTACCCCTTTTAAAGTTAAAAATGGTTGTGTGAGTCTTTTTGGCCAATTCTCTATTTGTACAAATGATGAACTCAACAACATTATGATCACTGTTTCCAAGCGGTGCAATCACTTTTACATCTCTCACCAGGTCTTGAGTGTTACTTAGGACCAAATCAAGGATCGCCTCTCCCCTGGTAGGTTCCGTGACCATCTGCTCCATAGCACAGTCATTTAGAGTGTCTAGAAACTCAATCTCTTTTTCCCGACTAGAACACATATTGACCCAATCAATGTGTGGGTAGTTAAAATCACCTATTATTACACAGTGTTTTTGTCTAGTTGCTATCTTTAAGGCATTCATCATTTTATAATCCTCCTCTATCTTTTGATCTGGTGGGCGATAACAAACTCCCAGTGTTAAGTTTCCTTTTGGCCCCCCTATTTCAACCCATAGAACTTCCAGAAGCGAATCCAATTCACTTAGCCTCTCAATCTTTCTAGACTTTATACCCTCTCTGACATACAGAGCTACCCCACCTCCAACCCTTCCCCCCCTATCCTTCCGATATAATATATAACCGGGAATCACTGTGTCCCACTGATTTTCCTCATCCCACCAAGTTTCAGAAATACCCACAATGTCTATTTTTCCCTCCGACACCAAGCACTCCAACTCCCCGATTTTACCTCGGACACTTCTAGCATTTGTATAGAAACAGCTGTAATTTCCCTTACAAGTTAAGCCTGCATCCTTCCTCTTGCTATCTCGAGTCGTTGTCCGGCAGTCCATGTCACCAGCCATGGCCTCTGTGGACAATTTCAATCCACCTCCCTGTAGAAAAGCAACCGGTACCCCCTCACCTCTCTCAGATGAGCCAACCCGAACCAGAGACTTTTCATCTCCTGTCGGCTTTCCCCCAATATTCAGTTTAAAAGCTGCTCTGCCACCTTTTTGATTTTAAGTGCCAGCAGCCTGGTTCCTTCTCGGGACAAGTGGAGACCGTCTCGCCTGTACAGCTCCCTCTTGTTCCAAAAAGTATCCCAGTGCCTAACAAACCTGAACCCTTCCCCCCTACACCATCGTCTCATCCACGCATTGAGACTCCTGATCTCTGCCTGTCTCTCCGGCCCTGCGCGTGGAACAGGTAACACTTCTGAGAAGGCTACCTTGGAGGTCCTGGACCTAAGTTTCCTGCCCAGCAGCC